GAGGGGGGGGGGGTTGTGGGGGGTGTGTGTTGTGAATTACTGGGTGGGTGGGACAGGTGTCCCCGGAGGTGTACGCTTCAGCCACACATTATACAAGTCAGTCACAGTAAGATATACTGTGAATACAGTAAGATATACTGTGAATACAGTAAGATATACTGTGAATACAGTAAGATATACTGTGAATACAGTTAGATATACTGTGAATACAGTAAGATATACTGTGAATACAGTAAGATATACTGTGAATACAGTAAGATATACTGTGAATACAGTAAGATATACTGTGAATACAGTAAGATATACTGTGAATACAGTAAGATATACTGTGAATACAGTAAGATAAGAATCTTACCTCTCCATACACGTGCTAACACAACCAGTGCACCTTAATCTTGATAGCGACGGTAGTTAGAAAAGCCAATATTGCGGCGCTTTACTAATACCTTGTTTTAACGCATTGGTCCATTTTGTAAACAAATAGGGTGGATTTTGGGGACTTTTGAGGAGTCGGGGGAAATTTTGTTGGGGGTTCGGAATGGAGGGGTGGGGGTATAGTCATTCATTTCATTTATTTTATGCAACCCCATACTCATCCCGTGGGCAGTGGTGGAAAGTTACAGAGGCGCGTAATGGGTTCAGGAACTGAACCCCATAGTTCGTTTAGTTAAGCAAGTGACAATCTTGTGAAGCGAGTTACACAATTGTTAATGTTACATATATATGTATATACACATCCATATACACAAATACATATACACAGTCTTATATCACACGTATACCACAACAAGAGGCTCACAACAGTCACTATACAAGGCACTTTACATCTATGGTGAGTCACACAGTTACTAGTCTTGCTCCACACTCACCCAACTGGGCGGCAGCTTTACAGTCATGTGCTGCACACTCACCCAACTGGGCGGCAGCTTTACAGTCATGTGCTCCACACCCACCCAACTGGGCGGCAGCTTTACAGTCATGTGCTCCACACCCACCCAACTGGGCGGCAGCTTTACAGTCATGTGCTCCACACCCACCCAACTGGGCGGCAGCTTTACAGTCATGTGCTCCACACTCACCCAACTGGGCGGCAGCTTTACAGTCATGTGCTCCACACCCACCCAACTGGGCGGCAGCTTTACAGTCATGTGCTCCACACCCACCCAACTGGGCGGCAGCTTTACAGTCATGTGCTCCACACTCACCCAACTGGGCGGCAGCTTTACAGTCATGTGCTCCACACCCACCCAACTGGGCGGCAGCTTTACAGTCATGTGCTCCACACCCACCCAACTGGGCGGCAGCTTTACAGTCATGTGCTCCACACTCACCCAACTGGGCGGCAGCTTTACAGTCATGTGCTCCACACCCACCCAACTGGGCGGCAGCTTTACAGTCATGTGCTCCACACCCACCCAACTGGGCGGCAGCTTTACAGTCATGTGCATGCATTACCTACAGTAAGCACATTTTGGATACTTGGCTAAGATTCCCGGCAGTACATCATTATGAATGAAGTACTTACACATTTCTTGTACACCATTGATGGTGTTATCTCTGAATTCCGCGATATTTTCACATTCCATTATATAATGAGGCAAAGTCTGCGAATAGTTCTGCTGACAGAGTTTACATTTAGTCAATTGTACATCAGCAGATGATGCAAACTGCCAGAGGTACTTGTAGCCGAGCCTAAGCCTAGCAGTGGTAACATCTAGAAGTCTGTTAGCCTTATTGGATGATCAATAGATGTGCGGGTCTTCCTACATAATAGAATGGTGATGGAGCAACTGGTGGGAGTGTCACTCTGCCCTAAGACTACCAGATTTTGTTGATGTTCCCGGAATATTACAGCCCTCAGGCTGCTTAAAGGCAGTCCCGAGATGGTAATCCATTCCCACTTTATGAGCAAAAGTTTTGAGACCAATATGGGAAGGAATCCACAGGAGACTAACTCTGGCTCCATCATTGATTATTTCATTATATCTGTGTCTAGCTTCAGAGACGAGCACGTCACAGTTATGCCTTGGGGGAGCTGAGGGCAGCCATGGATGACAGGAAGTCATTTACAATTAGCGTGTCATCTTTGGATTATTTGGAGTAGCTCGAGTGCAAGGATTATGGCAACCAATTCTGTTTGAAGAGTAGAGGCCCAGTTACTGAGACGCGCTCCACACTCGTGGGAGCAGGAACCATCTCTCCCTGTCACAACAACTGCACTTCCAGCTGCACCATGGGACTGGTGCAAGGATCTACGGTGTAAATAATCTAGGAGAGGGAGCGCTCTCTGACCAAAGCATCAATTTGGCTCAAGACATTGAACTTTGCTTCTTGTCGAAGGAAGTCTTAATCTTTAATCACCTTGAGTGGGAAAGTGGGGACAGTAATTTGGAAAGGGGTGATCACCCATGGGGGCAGGAAAGTGTCGTTGTTGTCTGTCTTGGCAGAGGTGACGAATATTGCACATCTGAGCACAGGGGCAGTTTTGGTAATCTCTTTAGCGTGATACTAACCTTCAAGAAAGAGGGCTTCAGTGCAGGGGTTAGGGTGGGTTAGACTAAGCATCTTGATACGAATTAAAGCATTAATTTCAGTGATAACGATCGCTTACACGTGTCTATACATGTGTAAGCGATCGTGATGTACATGTCTATACATGTGTAAGCGAGTCTTACACTCAGAATAAATCTCATAGCTTTGTTTTGTATCTTTTCCAGCCCCTGGAAGCATTCTCTCAGGCGCTAGAGCAAGCATGGGCTGCAGCATGACTGATCACTGATCTAATATATGAGAGCTGCAGCATTTTGACACTTGTCACATTTGTGTCGTATTGTTTAGTGTTGAGGGTCGTCAGTGTTCTCCCAGTGTTGTGTTGACTGACCTGTGGTGTGTTCCAGTGTTGTGTTGACTGACCTGTGGTGTGTTCCAGTGTTGTGTTGACTGACCTGTGGTGTGTTCCAGTGTTGTGTTGACTGACCTGTGGTGTGTTCCAGTGTTGTGTTGACTGACCTGTGGTGTGCAATGTCAGCAGGAGAGATTGCTGAAATAGAGGGAGTACAGAGAACATATACGGCACGCATAGACGCAATAAAGCACGTAAATTATTGGGATCGTCTCAAAGCTCTCCAAATGTACTCACTAGAAAGGAGACGAGAGAGATACCAAATAATATACACGTGGAAAATACTGGAGGGTCAGGTCCCTAATCTACACAGTAAAATAACAACATACTGGAGTGAACGATATGGAAGAAAATGCAGAATAGAACCAGTAAAGAGCAGAGGTGCCATAGGCACAATCAGAGAACACTGTATTAATAATATGGGGGGGGGGGGGTTATAGAGGCTCGGTGAATGTATTCAGTGTCGTGTGTGATTCACACCTCCGTGGAAATACACATTCGATGCTCCTGTACGGGGTCACGAACCGGTTGACCTGCTGTGACCTGTCGGCCTCACACACGTGGGGGAAGGGAGCTGGTCGGCCGAGCGGACAGCACACTGGACTTCTGGTCCTGGGTTCGATCCCGGGCGCCAGCGAGAAACGATGGGCAGAGTTTCTTTCACCCCTATGCCCCTGTTACCTAGAAGTAAATAGGTACCTGGGAGTTAGTCAGCTGTCACGGGCCGCTTCCTGGGGGTGGAGGCCTGGTTGAGGATCGGGCCGCGAGGACACTAAAAAAAAACAAAGCCCCGAAATCAACTCAAGATAACCACAGTTCGACACCCATACAGCTCAGCTGAATGGTATAAGGTGTCATGTTATTACCGTATTTCCTAGGCCAGGTGTTTCGTCAGCCTATTATTATATGGTGGTATCCCCACTCTATACCTTACGACCTCTTATATCCCCCGGTCACCTTACGACCTCTTATGTCCCCCGGTCACCTTACGACCTCTTATATCCCCCGGTCACCTTACGACCTCTTATATCCCCCGGTCACCTTACGACCTCTTATGTCCCCCGGTCACCTTACGACCTCTTATATCCCCCGGTCACCTTACGACCTCTTATATCCCCCGGTCACCTTACGACCTCTTATATCCCCCGGTCACCTTACGACCTCTTATATCCCCCGGTCACCTTACGACCTCTTATGTCCCCCGGTCACCTTACGACCTCTTATATCCCCCGGTCACCTTACGACCTCTTATATCCCCCGGTCACCTTACGACCTCTTATGTCCCCCGGTCACCTTACGACCTCTTATATCCCCCGGTCACCTTACGACCTCTTATATCCCCCGGTCACCTTACGACCTCTTATGTCCCCCGGTCACCTTACGACCTCTTATATCCCCCGGTCACCTTACGACCTCTTATATCCCCCGGTCACCTTACGACCTCTTATATCCCCCGGTCACCTTACGACCTCTTATATCCCCCGGTCACCTTACGACCTCTTATGTCCCCCGGTCACCTTACGACCTCTTATATCCCCCGGTCACCTTACGACCTCTTATGTCCCCCGGTCACCTTACGACCTCTTATATCCCCCGGTCACCTTACGACCTCTTATATCCCCCGGTCACCTTACGACCTCTTATATCCCCCGGTCACCTTACGACCTCTTATATCCCCCGGTCACCTTACGACCTCTTATATCCCCCGGTCACCTTACGACCTCTTATGTCCCCCGGTCACCTTACGACCTCTTATATCCCCCGGTCACCTTACGACCTCTTATATCCCCCGGTCACCTTACGACCTCTTATATCCCCCGGTCACCTTACGACCTCTTATATCCCCCGGTCACCTTACGACCTCTTATGTCCCCCGGTCACCTTACGACCTCTTATATCCCCCGGTCACCTTACGACCTCTTATGTCCCCCGGTCACCTTACGACCTCTTATATCCCCCGGTCACCTTACGACCTCTTATATCCCCCGGTCACCTTACGACCTCTTATGTCCCACGGTCACCTTACGACCTCAGCCACGACAAAGTGGCGGTATTTACAGTAGTTGTGGTGTTCATTAGTCAACTTGTTCCATTGCAGACTGACTTGTGCGGGATAAAATGGAGAGTGTATGTGTGGGACAACCCTGGCGGCGTCGGCGGCGGCTGCGGTGGCGGCGTCGGCGGCGGCGTCGGAAGCGGCGGCGGGGTGGGTCCAACTGACCCCTTCGAGGACCCGGTGCTGGTGTCGTACGCCCGCATGATCGCCGCCGACGTGTTGTGTGTGTGGCGGCGGTCGTGGCGGGGCCCTCAGGACCACATCTCCCTCTCCCCGCAGCAGGCGCACCACTACGCCCACCACCACCAGCAACACCACTCACTCCGACACTCACCCAAGGAACTCTGGGTCTTCTGGTATGGGGACGACCCCGACCTCTCCAACCTTCTCGCCCCAGAGTTGCGCAAGAGTGGTAAGTACTTCCCTTGTTTTTGTGTCCGCCTGGACCTTCCGGCCATGTTACCCTCACAGACCCTTGGCGTCCACTATTATAGCAGTTACGTGAACATGAAGTCACAATAACGTGGCTGAAATATGTTGACCAGATCACACACTAGGTGAAGGGACGACGACGTTTCGGTCCGTCCTGGACTAATCTCAAGTCGATTGTGACTTGAGATTGACCGACTTGAGAATGGTTCAGGACGGACCGAAACGTCGTCGTCCCTTCACTTTCTAGTGTGTGGTGCCATAGGCACACTCAGAGAACACTGTATAAACATCAGAGGTCCGCGTTCTAATTCCAACGTCCTACCAGTGAGCATCAGAAATATTGCCGGAACAACCGTGGACATCAAGAGGAAACAAGATTGTTTCCTCTAAGGAGTGCCGGACAAACCAGGCTGTTGGTCCAAGCAACAGCCTGGTGGACCAAACTCACAAGTCAAGCCTGGCCTCGGGCCGGGCTTGGGGAGTAGAACAACTCCCAGAACCCCATCAACCAGGTGGTCTGGTCAACAGCATTTACGTCTTCATTTAAGAACATAAGAATGAAAGTAACTGGAGAAGGTCTATTGACCCACACGACTCGGCTCCCATTTATAACTACCCAATCCCGCTCATATACATGTCCATCCCACGCTTGAAACAATTAAGGGACCCCACTTCCACCACGCCACGCGGCCACCGACTCCACAAACCGGATTTATCTATAGGATGTAGGGGTCTGAAAGCTTAAAAGACCTTTACATCTGTTTGCTGTCACGGCGGCTTAAGTCTGGACGTATTCATTAAACTCTTTATGAGCTCTATGAGGTTTTTCCACCATAATATTTGATTAAGTTTGTGGAGCCGTAAACTGTAATAAATATAAAGACAGCCGCCATGACAGAAGCAAGATGTGCTGGTTTGGCTGGCGCGCGCGCGCGCACACACACACACACACACACACACACACACACACACACACACACACACACACACACACACACACACACGCACACGCACACGCACACGCACACACATACATACATACATATATGCTGGATGAGCCCAGTCAGTCACCAGGCTGCTGGCGTGGAAACTCTCACTCTTCAACTGGTAAAGTGTGTGTGAAGTGAGTAGTGACAGTCTACGGCCACTCTGTACGCGTATCACCGAAATACTTACCTCCTGCTACGTTGAGTAGCTTCCGGGGATCAATGGGCTCCGGCCCGGTTATCGACCAGGCCTCCTGGTTACTGGACTGGTGAGCCAGGCTGTTGGACACGGCTGTTAGCAGCCTGACGTATGAATCATAGTCTGGTTGATCAGGTACTTGCACATGGGTAACTCATCTTTCTATTACCTATATTTAAGCTGGTAGGATAATAGCCACACCTTAATGTACTCACCTACGTCGCTCGGCCGACCAGCCGGTCGGCCGAGCGGACAGCACGCTGGACTTGTGATCCTGTGGTCCCGGGCGCCGACGAGAAACAATGGGCATAGTTTCTTTCACCCTATGCACCTGTTACCTAGCAGTAAAATAGGTACCTGGGTGTTAATCAGCTGTCACGGGCTGCTTCCTGGGGGTGGAGGCCTGGTCGAGGACCGGGCCGCGGGGACACTATAAGCCCCGAAATCATCTCAAAATAACCTTAAGATAAGATAACCTAGTTGTGCTTGCGGGGGTTGAGCTTTGGCTCTTTGGTCCCGCCTCTCAATGTGTGAGATATTTGCCTGACTACATAAAACGCGTTGGAAAAAAATAGCTGGAAAATTCGGAAGATGGATGTATAATTTTGACTTACGAAGAGAACGCAGAGTGTAATAGTCAACTACATAAAATGTGGCCATCAGCCGTGAAGAGCTCAGTCCCCCAAGGTGGTGCTGGGCTTTGCTCCACTAGTTACTCATCCTCATACGAGACATAGACAAGGACACACACTATAGTACTGTAACGAGACATAGACAAGGACACACACTATAGTACTGTAACGAGACATAGACAAGGACACACACTATAGTACTGTAACGAGACATAGACAAGGACACACACTATAGTACTGTAACGAGACATAGACAAGGACACACACTATAGTACTGTAACGAGACATAGACAAGGACACACACTATAGTACTGTAACGAGACATAGACAAGGACACACACTATAGTACTGTAACGAGACATAGACAAGGACACACACTATAGTACTGTAACGAGACATAGACAAGGACACACACTATAGTACTGTAACGAGACATAGACAAGGACACACACTATAGTACTGTAACGAGACATAGACAAGGACACACACTATAGTACTGTAACGAGACAGACTAGGACACACACTATAGTACTGTAACGAGACATAGACAAGGACACACACTATAGTACTGTAACGAGACATAGACAAGGACACACACTATAGTACTGTAACGAGACATAGACAAGGACACACACTATAGTACTGTAACGAGACATAGACAAGGACACACACTATAGTACTGTAACGAGACATAGACAAGGACACACACTATAGTACTGTAACGAGACATAGACAAGAACACACACTATAGTACTGTAACGAGACATAGACAAGAACACACACTATAGTACTGTAACGAGACATAGACAAGAACACACACTATAGTACTGTAACGAGACATAGACAAGAACACACACTATAGTACTGTAACGAGACATAGACAAGGACACACACTATAGTACTGTAACGAGACATAGACAAGGACACACACTATAGTACTGTAACGAGACATAGACAAGGACACACACTATAGTACTGTAACGAGACATAGACAAGGACACACACTATAGTACTGTAACGAGACATAGACAAGGACACACACTATAGTACTGTAACGAGACATAGACAAGGACACACACTATAGTACTGTAACGAGACATAGACAAGGACACACACTATAGTACTGTAACGAGACATAGACAAGGACACACACTATAGTACTGTAACGAGACATAGACAAGGACACACACTATAGTACTGTAACGAGACATAGACAAGGACACACACTATAGTACTGTAACGAGACATAGACAAGGACACACACTATAGTACTGTAACGAGACATAGACAAGAACACACACTATAGTACTGTAACGAGACATAGACAAGGACCCACACTATAGTACTGTAACGAGACATAGACAAGGACACACACTATAGTACTGTAACGAGACATAGACAAGGACACACACTATAGTACTGTAACGAGACATAGACAAGGACACACACTATAGTACTGTAACGAGACATAGACAAGGACACACACTATAGTACTGTAACGAGACATAGACAAGGACACACTATAGTACTGTAACGAGACATAGACAAGGACACACACTATAGTACTGTAACGAGACATAGACAAGGACACACACTATAGTACTGTAACGAGACATAGACAAGGACACACACTATAGTACTGTAACGAGACATAGACAAGGACACACACTATAGTACTGTAACGAGACATAGACAAGGGGACACACTATAGTACTGTGTCATCTTCTGCAGATGACTCAAGGACTCGTGACAGTAGACAACATAGAAAACACAGCAAACCTCCCAATTGGTGCAGACGAGGAGTCACAATAACGTGGCTGAAGTATGTTGACCAGACCACACACTAGTAAGTGAAGAGACGACGACGTTTCGGTCCGTCCTGGACCATTCTCAAGTCGATTGTGGTCGATTCTCAAGTCAATTGTGATCAAGTCGGTCGTCCTGGACCATTCTCACAGTCGACTTGAGAATGGTCCAGGACGGACCTAAACGTCGTCGTCCCTTCACTTTCTAGTGTGTGGTCTGGTCAACACTCGACACTGATGTTGTTCGGACCACCTGATTTACACGCTCAAGGAAGACAAGTTCCAGGTGTTGCGCTGTGCTAAAAATGGAGAAATGACAAACAGGAATCACACAATAAATGCAATTAAATTACGCTATAGAAAAACCTCCCCCAAGCTGATTTAGTGGCATCGGACTATACAACAATTTGTATAGGATTCGGGACTCGATCTGGGGTCCAAGATGCCTCGATTCTAAACGTTACCAACTGATCCATGACCAGAGGTAAGCGTTATTAAAGACGGTCTTTTACAGTAATAAAGATAACGTTAGCCAACGTTAGTCCTTAGTTAGTCCAACGTTAGTTAGTAATAAAGCAACGTTAGTCCTGGACATAGTCCAAGACTGAGTGTATGTACAGCTATACTACGGGGTGTAGAGCTGTGGGGGTATACCCCCTCCCCCTGGGCACAGAGACCGGCTGTGTTTGAAGGTGCTCGTACCCTATGCCCGTACCCTATGCCTCCCCCCCCACCAGACGCCAACACCCCCTCCCACAACCATTAACATCCCCGCCAACCCCCACGCACAACATTGAGGACGCTGCTAGGACAGTTAAATTCATAATTCCAAGCTGAAATCCACACCAGTCACCCCCACACACGCGAGACACCCTTCAACATGTACGCCAGTATCTGTGTGTGTACTCCCCTAGTTGTGCTTGGGGGGTTGTGCTCTGGCTCTTTGGTCCCGCCTCTCAACTGTCAATCAAATGCTGTACAGGTTCCTGAGACTATTGGGCTCTATCATAACTACACTTGAAACTGTGTATGGAGTCAGCCTCCACCACATCACTGCCTAATGCATTCCATCTGTTAACTACTCTGACACTGAAAAAGTTCTTTCTAACGTCCCTGTGGCTCATGTGGGTACTCGGTCTCCACCTGTGTCCCCTTGTTCGTATTCCGCCCGTGCTAAAGAGTTTGTCTTTTTCCACCCTGTCAATTCCCATGAGAATTCTGTAGGTGGTGATCATGTCTCTCCTTACTCTCGTCTTCCAGGGACGTGAGGTTTAGCTTCCGTAGCCTTTCCTCGTAGCTCATACCTCTCGGTTCCGGGACTAGTCTGGGGGACATGGCTATGAATCTTCTCTAACTTT